CACCCTCTCTCTTCCCACTTTCTCATCCCCCACCCCACTCACCTCACTCCCGCCCTACTGTACATTCCCGCCCAATTTTATCTTTCCATGTTTACGCAGTATTCACCCCCCCAGAACATATTATATATTATTAAATTTTTAATCTAACTACCTACCCCCTTTAAGCAGGCGTCTGGAGAACTTGTTGTAGTCCCGGCAAGCAGCCCGGGGCTGACGGGCACTCTAGCCTCTGTGCTGGGGGCTCTTCTGCCGGGAAACCCTCCCAAGGACAGTTCCAGGTGGGGATGAACCACACGTCACGTGCTCTCTGCCATCTCTGTTCTCTCTTTGTGTGGGTCTCACACACAAGGTGGGGGCTAACTCCTATCGCACCCAGGGGCGTATCTATGCGAAATGGGTTCGTGGTGAACTCTGACATAACCCCCCCCCCAAAAAAAAAAAAAAAAAAAAAAAAAAAAAAAAAAAAGCACAAGTGATACATAGATAGGTGAACTGGTTGAAATAATAAAAAAAAAGCGAATAAATGAATGGGCGAATGAATGAATGAATGAATGAATAAATGAATGAATGGATGAATGATTTTTAAAGAAATAAATACAGTATAAATGCTATTTTATATATTTTATATTATAAACACAGAGTATGACAATTATATAATACTAGAATAGACGCGTGTTCTACTGTTGAAGAAGCTTCCTTTTCGTCTCCCTTCAACCTGCCATTTCGTTTCTAATGGGTAAAAAAACAACATGCGATTATATAACTTTAAAATCACTACTGACATTATTTGGGCTATTTAGAAAGGGGGGGGGGGGATTCCCTGCCTGTCACACCCTAGATACGCCCCCTGAAGACATTACTACTAACACAGTGTGTGGACTGTACTTCTACATGTGCACTCTCTCAATGAAGAAGCACCGTGTTTTGTGTTCGTTTGATGGACGAGATTGGAACAGACACTCTTACACTTCATGTCGGTGTGCAGCTGTTACTTATTATTAACCCACTGCACCAAACACAATGTGGACCTAACTCACCTCTGAGTACACATTCTCAGTGTCGGTGTGCCGCTATCACATAAAACATTGCACGAGACACAATGTGGACTTAAAACACTTCTGTGTATTCGTTCTCAATGATGCAGTTACTGTTATCTATGTGCGTTAAAAAGTAACTCTCGACCTTAGGGTTAACATACGCACCTATAACGTGACATCTAACACATAATGTGTAATGTGCACTCGTACAGTATGTCGTCAACTTGCTACGATTGTAGCCGAAGTCAGACTTAAAGACCAAAATCAAATCCGCCCACCTTAGCATTACAAAATATATTAAATGATGGTTTACCACCACGTAACAAAGGGGTGTAAATACGCCAGCAAATATTCGAGTTTTGAATCATAAATTACCTTTGCCCGAGTCTGACAACCCCTCCCCCCCTCCCCCCAATCTCGTGAAATTAATTTCTAAAAATGATTACTCAAACTCATGATTAAAACATTGGTAAATATTGTAGCATGTTGACGATATTGTATACTCTTAATTCTTAATTCACACTCACAAACACTGAGATACGTGTTCGAGTGACGAACAGGATGGTATTTTACATTCAAAACAAACAAACAAAAGTTCTAACACAATGTCACATTGTAGCTGGTGCCAGTCCACTTGACAGATGTTTCTGTTCCTCTTGGTGGTCTATACCCCAATGCTTCTATCGCACTGACCGTCTATTGCCTGAACGGTCTGACTGACAGTAGTCTACTTCAATCAACAGCCCTGACCCTGGCCGTAACCCAATCCCTGATTTTAACCCTAACCCACACCCTTGCTCTAACCCTAACACTGACCAATTGACACAGCCCAGTAAGTAAACCGTGGTCGGTCAAGTGGACCGGCACTGAGTGACTATTATCTATTTAACTCTATCCGTACGCCCTGGGGTCATTTTGTAGCCCCGGGGTTGTATTCTTTTCATTTTAGAATACTTTTAGTGCGAAGATCTCTATGAAATTTTCAGTATTTCTCGAAAATTCGTTTTGACACACTGCTATGCAAAGCGTATTGATCAGATTAAAGAGTAAATTTCCTCTTTGGAAAGTGAGGTACAACGTTCCCGTCGTCGTATGGATACGATAGTAAAACATGACGTACGAATAGGGTTAAGATGATTTCACTCTGTGAGCTACACGCCAGGATGAATACTTTGGTATGTGGATAATAATATTCATTATTCGCTCTGTCAATTGTTTAACACCACCCCCCCCCGACCCCTTTTTAATCTCAGTCGATTTCCCACATTGACTTATCCATAGATCTATCGAATTCTAGAAGCCCAGCTTTCTCGAGTGTTTTCTCTCTGACTTAAAGGTATCAAGCTGTAGGACATTATTTTAACATTGCTAGTGGTCTATCTTTGTCGTACAACAATATATCACTACCTTTTCAAACAACATTTCACCATGTCCTATAAATTGTGTAAAAAAAAAAAGAGTTCATACATGCCATGCGTAGAATCGTTTGTGTCCAAAACTAACCTTGTATCCGCCAAGTTAGGTGAAACATTTTTTGGCATCAAATTGTGTTATTCACGACCATAATTATAATCCTTTTGGTCATAATATCATATGTAGAAATTCTCCTTAAAATTTGAGGTAATTCTAGTAGATAATAAGAACTAATTTACCACCCCCCCCACCTCAACACACACACACACACACACACACACACACACACACACACGCACACACACACACACACACACGTACACACACGTACACGCACGTACACACACGTACACACTCATACACACACACACGCACACACACACACAAACGCACACTTGCGCACACACATACATACACATACACACATTCATACATGCAATATAGTACGGTTGGAGTCGGACATAGACTTAATGCCTTTTTACAGTCCTGTTTTTAGAACTAATTAGAAGCACATAATAAAAGGACAGTTGACCAGCGGACAGTAAATGGACATGCATGTACTAGATCTCTATCAACGGAAAGATACCTTAAGCGGGGAGCTTTGTATGCCGCTCTAAAATAGCTTCCCATCACTAGGTACACACCTGTATTGTTGCAATAGGTCACAAACCGAGGTGGGACTTCACCCACACTTTAACCCAGATTGTCCAAAGGCGGGCATTGTGAAGAGGGTGTAAAGGGGGAAGAAGGCGTAGTATGAACTCTTTTTTTTTCTCTTCTTCTTTGCCCTCCTCTATCTCCCCATTTCTTCCTACTTTTTCAGATATTTTTCCTTTTCTCCTTCTCACTCTTCTTAGCTCCTTTCTTGTTCCTCCCCATTCTGTCCTTCCCTTACCCCCCCCCCCCTTTTTTTCCTTCCGTGTCATCATTTTGTGCTCTTCATGTAGATCTATCAGTATTTTGGCCAACTCCCGTCGCCTCACACTGTATAGTAAAGCTACAACTCCCTATTTTGTTTCCAACTCATTAACTGTGCTTGCTTTTTTCATTCCCTTTTAACTCGCTACGTCCCTCCTTTTTCATTGCAGAGCGACACCCTTCGCTTTCAATTACTTATCGCTCTCCGCATAGACAGGCTGTGTCCGTTGTGAGGAACACACCTCTTCATGGACCAACTAGCTGCTCCCAGTCTCTGCTCACGTCTCTACACATGCCGAATTGATTTATAGCTTGCAACGAGTCAGCTCGATAGCGACCGCATTTCTCCAGGAACTGATAAAGACTAAAACGCAACTTAAAGTAAACTGAAGCATCAAATCGTACGAAGGCATCAATCTCCCTACCTCTACCACTATCGCTGTGAAAGGTTTAGTTTGGAAATGATGGACGATGCAACAGTATTTCCTTCCTATGAAGTTCCGTCGCCCAGGGTGTGGCGTGAAGAAGCGGCGCAAATGATGTCTCTTCTGTATTGAACGTTTACCTAGATATAATTTTCAGTCCAAGATAATCTTTCATAGCCGTGTTGATTGAACACCAAAGCTGCAAGTGTGATCTTTGGAATTTTATACAAAGAGAGAAGTCACCTTGGCATGGTCAGAAGTGTTAAGTGTTGGGCCGAAGAAGTTGCAGAAGAAATACAAAAATAAAGAAGGGAAGCTGGATGTGTTTTGAATGTGTACACCATGGGTTTTTTTCTCAATCTGATGTACGGGCAGCCGCCGCCCTCAGCTTCGAACAGCCATTTCTCACCTCACCTTGTCCTCAAGTCCCTCGTATCACGTTCATATCCCTGCTACGCTTTTTCCTCACCAGATTTACTCCCCCAGACTATGGAAGTACCACCTATAGCCTTTGCTTTGAGCTTGTGTTTCAGCGAAATTTGTTACGGCAGTTTGTGTTCCAGGATGTAAGTCGGCCAGTCTGTTACGTCAGACTTTCACCAAGCGAGACACGCACAGCTCACTAACAGACCTGTTTCTTTTCTCACCGAACTTACATGTGTGCTAACCTATGAAACCAATAGGATTTCTCTGTTGTTTGATGATTCGAAGTACACCTGTAGAAAATAGATGTATCTTATTAACGGTGATTGGTTTTAGTTTACAAAGAATTAACTTATCCTCCACATGACTTCACTTTTGCAACCAATATTCACTCGGCGTTACCACTGTTGTTTTAACCCACTCTCACTAGTCTAGCATCCTGTTCTTTTTGTGTAAATAGTGTACTGTGAATATAACTTATACTCATAATATATCTCAGCCTGTGTAGCAATAGGCCTTTGATGGCTTTATTCATGTACAAAGAAGAACGATAACCACGTAAGAAGTACTTTATATTTAGAGGATTGCGTGGTTATGTCCCTTGGTTTAGGTGGCCACTTGCTAAGTGTGCTCAACTCAAACTGTTATCGTGTAAGCCCAAAAAGGAAAAGAGGGAAGTAAGCAGTCGAAAAAGTGATAACAGCATTGGCATTACATATTACACTTCTGTTGCGATATCAGGGCTTCGGCTTGAAAAAGTAAAGTTGTTTTTACTTCACCGAAAGAAACACTGTTCCAGGACTCGGCTACATGTCAAGTTGTCCCCCTTTTCATTTATCTAGAGGGAACCGAAACTTGTGTCTTCACTCATGTCTCAGTAGTAAATAGTTCATGACCATTTAACGGTCTGTGACCAGCTGTGCTTGTGTTGAAGCGCCTGTAGTGGTTGTCAGTTGTTTACTCTGGCATCAGACTTCGTTCAGCCTCTGCTTATGATATCTCTCCCGCGACTAATGCCCATGGCATCTACTTCGTTTGTTACATCCGTCTGGCATTTCTTTGGCTGTTTGGCTTGCTTTTTTTCCACCGCTGTCCATCTCCATCAGTACTCTTGATTATCAAAACTGAACATGTTATTGGCATAAATGTTCTCTCCCTGATCTGTGTTGCTGATCTCTGACCCTAGTCACTGCAGGTGGTGTTCTTGAGAAGAACACGATCATCTGATTGATTTCCTTCACGGTTTACATTTTACTCTTATCAAATTATCCCCCTGAAAAGCACTGACAGAGAAAGTTACGCTCTGTCTTATCGATGTTTTTCAGGGATTCAGCGTACATTGAACCACCTTGTAGACAATGAGGAGATTGTATCTTGAAAGAACTCTGAACTGTGTGCTGTCTGTTCGAGTTGCACGCCATAATTTGTTTCCTCTTTTCAAATAATGTGCTGTCAGATATGTTCTCCTTCCCTTTGACAGCCAACATCCCTACAGCCTCTGGGTTTTCTTTTTTTCCCCCTGCTATCGCCTGTTGATCTCTTATCTGTATGACCCGTCTTGTATTAGGCTTTACACAGCTTGTTTGTCTCAACATATGGCCTTTTGTACCCTGTTACTTCCGACAATTTGTTTAACGCTCCTTGCGGTACTGTGCTGAGTTGACCCACTGTCTGTGCTCTGCCAAGTGATAACAGTTCTGCTGCTCTGTATCTTGAAGGGAACTTCTCATTACCGTAGGCCGGTATCTTTCAAGTCTTCAACCTCTTCAAAGACACGAGGCCCGCACTCTTTGGCACAGTTTTATTCTTTGAAGCACATAACCATACATATATTTCATCTCCCAAAATATCGCAACAGTAATTAATCCTCACTTGCGCAGGTCAAGTATTTCAGGGTTATAATGATAACGAACCTCGTGATAAAATCTATTTACAAAATTTTGGAGAACACAGTGTGTGTCTTCTTAGTGTGTAAAACATTATGTCATCTGCAAGGATATGCCATTCCGGAGCCCGCAACTGGAACTTTACATTTTAGATGCTTAATATTCATTGTGATTCATTGTGATCTTGAGGACTTCCTAACTCATAGAGAGAGTGGAAGAACGTTTCCCTTTTCCTTGTCGTGTTTCTGTAACGTTACTGATTAATTTGTTAAAAGGAAATAGACGACTGCGCCCTGTGTGGGCCATGTAACTGATGTAGAATGTCTGGTGAGATTGGTGGCTGACCAGTGGCAATATGCTGACGGTCGTGCCCAATATGTACGTCCCTCCGGCCAAAGGGAGCGGGTCACACGGGCTGGCTCGCTATGACGTCATGTCCAGGCGGCAGCACCCTGACTCAGGTCGTAGCGGAGACTGTCAGGCATCCAGGCTTGCCCCCACCCCTCCGGGCGGCCGTTTTCATTTTCGCGCTTTTCTTAATTCCTGGTCCAGGTCAGAGCGGAAGGACTTTGTGCAGTCCATGCAGATCCCGAGTCCTGCAAGCAGTGCCCAGGCCGGCGCGGGCATGCTGGACTCCAACCCCTTTGGTGAAGAAGACGAGACGTTGGGTTTCCTCAACAGTGTACACGTGCTCCCGAAATCCGACTCCAGTGGTGGGTATGACGTTTATCGAACACCAACTGAGCCCAGACGCAGTAGTAGTGGACACAACGTCTTGACTTACTCCGGCGCCTCTCATCTCAGAGATCAACGGGCGAGCAGAACAAGTGAGACCCCCAAGACCCCAAACAGTTGGACCCCTAGCACCCACGCCATAGGCCCCCGACCGGAGTTTTCCAATGCCTCTCACAGCGGGAGGCGATTTTCCAAAAACATTGGCAATCCGGCGCTCCGGAAAAAGACTCATGAGAAACTCGTCGAAGCCACGCGGACATCTGAGTTGTACCGCTCCACTTCAGCACTCAGCGACGCTCCACCTCTGCCCTCGCTACCTCCCTCGGGAAACATCTCAAACTCTCGTGCTGTCGGACCCAGCAAAACCATAGAATCTACGACCTTTGACCCTCCTAGTTTTGGCAGCTCGACGCCAAAACCCTCACGTTACCAGACTTTTGGAGATTACAACGACTTGAATTCTGGCTACTATCCAGGTACTCATAACGCCTCCAGCCTCTCAACGCCCCCAAAACCAAAGTCTGTGGTGTACTCTGGTACCGATGTTGAGAGTTTCCACGAGTCTCTCGTCATCCCCAGCCACAAAGACTCCAGGAATGCGGGCAATAACTTCTCCCCCAACTCATACCTCGCCAGGAACAGAACCCCAGGGGGAAGAGAGTCCCCTGTGTTATACACACAATCACAGCAGGTAGATATGACGGACGGCCCAGAAACTGGCGCTATAGGCGCGTCTGTGACTCCCAATCAAAAGCCAGGGATTCTGGCCCTGTTAAAACGATACGGAACAAGAGACAAACAAAACTCGCCCCGAAAGCTGGACGAAAACAACGCGAAGCCCCTCGCCCGTTCACAAAGCACCAAGGAGCTGAAAGTGCTGCCCAAATTGTCCAGTCACCGCGACGGCTGCCCAGCGCAGCAGCATCAGCAGCATCAGCAGCAGCATCAACATTATCTGAATACTCAGAGATGTCACGAACGGCGTTCGGGTGGGCATCACCGACATGGTAGTGGTCAGTTCGGACGGGATTTGGCGGAACTGGAATGTAGCTGCAAGTTTTTTCATACTCACCGGTTTGACGGAGACGCGCACAACAACGATATTGAGGCCATCAAAGAGCGGAGACAGGAGATCATACTGGCTTCTATGAAGGTGAGAGCATCTCTGTTTGTGTGTGTGTGTGTGTGTGTGTGTGTGTGTGTGTGTGTGTGGTAATTGTTTGTTTGTGTGTGTGTTCGTGTTTGCGTGTATGTGCGTGTGTGTGTGTGTATGTGTGTGTGTGTGTATGTGTGTGTGTGTGTATGTGTGTGTGTGTGTGTTAGATAGATACATAGGTAGGGAGGGAGAGAGATAGAGAGA